GGAGGGGCCAAATTGGGCGCCGTCCGGTCCCTGATGAGGGCCTTCCGCAGTGCGTGCCACTATGGGGACGAAGAACAGGGCGATGACGTGGCTGCCAGATTGAGCACCATGTCGAGCGCTGTTTTCAACAAGATTATGGTTTTCGTTCTGAACGAGATGGATGGGATACTTCGAGGGCTGTTGAGACTGCCTCCGTCTGGGGGGAAACGGGAGATGATGGTAGATGTGATGACGACTAGGCCGTGGAAGAATTATAATCATCTGGTGAAGTCGTACCTTGGGAATGCTTTGCATGTGCTGAATCAGATGACAGATAGTGAGATGATTGCATTTGTGCTGAGGCGCCTGAAGTACTCGGCTCTGTTTCTAGCTGCTTATCCGGCCCTCTTGAGGAAGTATATCAAGGTATGCATTTGGTTTGTGGTTGTGGAGTTGTTGGCTGTTCAATGCGTTTTTAGAGTGATTATTTACGATTGATTGGTTAGAAGATTTGATTTTCGTTGTGTATCGGAAATAAGGGATGTTATAATGAGTTTGACGTCTCACAATCATCAACTTTTACACGAAATTTGCGAATTTTGTATCTCTAGTTTTAGTTTCATTCCTTGTGTATGTTGTAATGTCTTCTGATATCTTTTTTGGTGGCAGATTTATATTCCATCAATTAAACTAGTAATATTCCTTGGTGATGCCAATATCGTCTTCTAACCAAATGTTTTGACATTATCTTTGTTTTATTTTCAGGTTGCGCTGCATTTCTGGGGTACAGGAACTGGTGCACTGCCACTTGTCTCCTTCTTGTTCTTAAGAGATTGTTGTGTACGGCTTGGTTCTGACTGCTTGGATGACTGCGTGAAAGGAATGTACAAAGCTTATGTCTTGAATTGCCACTTTATTAATACAACAAAATTGCAGCACATCCAATTTCTTGGAAATTGCTTTACCGAGCTCCTTCGCATTGACACTTCATCTGCTTATCAGCATGCCTTTGTTTACATCCGGCAGCTAGCAATGATATTGAAGGAAACACTTTCGTGTTCCACAAAAAAGAAGAACTTGAAAAACAAGGGGAAAAATGAACCTTCTGGTTCTAAAAAAGAGAAGGGGAAGGAAGCTCCTTCGAGTTCTAAAAAAAAGGTACGGTGTAAGATAACCAATTAATTGTTTATTGATTTTATTTTCTTGTTCTTGCATTAATGTTGGAGTTCTATGTTCTTAAACTTGGTAGTTTCCAAACAATATTTGTTGGTCTGACCTTCACTTCCCTTAATATGCTGTAACTTTAAAACTTTTATATGATTCAGAAGATTTGAGACATGGATTCATGGCTTAAGGCTAAAAGATGAATTGCTTTGAGCTACTTAGTTTCGGTATTTTACTGAACAGTAATTAAAAGAAGTTTTCTTTTCAAGGTTATGTATATTTCAGACTTTCTTTGTATTCAGTTTTATCCTTCTCCCACAGGAAACATATAGAAAGGTCTACCAGTGGAAGTACATTAACTGCCTGGAGCTATGGACTGGAGTTGTTTGCGCATATAGCGAAGAAGCTGATTTGAAGCCACTCACTTACCCATTGGCACAGATTATCACAGGAGTAGCTCGTTTACTTCCATCTGCTTGTTATTTTCCCCTTAGATTGCGATGTGTGAGAATGCTCAATCGTATAAGTGCTTCAACTGGTACATATATTCCTGTTTCTCTAATTCTCTTGGACATGCTCGAGATAAAAGAATTGCGTAGGCCCCCCACTGGAGGATTAGGCAAATCTGTTGATTTGTTTTCTATCCTTAAGGTACTCTAAAAAATGGTTCTTCATTCGTAGTTATATACATATATATTACATCATTCAATATTGAATCTGCAATTGTGTTCCATTAGGTTAGCAAAACAACTTTGAAAACAAGAACATTTCAAGAGGCTTGTGTTTTATCCGTGGTTGAGGAGCTTGCTGAGCATCTTGCTCAGTGGAGTTACTCTATTGCTTTCTTGGAGTTTTCGTTTGTTCCTAGCGTTCGACTGCGTAACTTCTGCAAATCTACAAAGGTCGATAGGTTTCGCAAAGAAATGAGGCATCTCATTCGTCAGGTTTATTTCATGACAACAGTTGTTGGCCTTTTGTATTTTGTTTTTTGCATTAACCTAAAACTCATGCACTATCTACATACTCAGAAACTTATCTGTTTTATCGGTGTTATAAAACTTCTGCTGATTGCACCTACCATCTCAATGCCGTAGATCGAAGCCAACTCTGAATTTATAAATAAGAAGCGGACAACAATTTCTTTCTTGCCGAATGACCCTGCAGCTGAGACTTTCCTTGAGGTTTGTACATTCATTTTGATGCTTTATTTATAAATATACTATATTTTTATTTTAATCTTATTTCTAACTGTTCCTCGTAATGTGAACCACCCAAAGAGACTCCACCTGTATGTATAACCCTGCTCTACGATTATACAAATCTTCACAATGTGGAGTATTTATACTCAATTTTGGTCAGCTTAGTTCATGTGGACCAAGAAAAGGAAAAAACAGTTATATTTAAAATAGCAATTATTCCCTTTAGGTTTTTTAATCTATATAAAAATTAAAAACTACTTGCTGATGTAGGAGGGCGTGTAACTTTTATTTCTCTCCCAACTCTGTTTCTTATCGTGGATGATATGTGTAATTATCTATATCAAACACACTGTATGTGACGATTGCAAAATGTTTTCAATATGTTTGTGCTTTTAGGCGATACAGTTTAAACAGAATAACTAGCTTGATACATTAATGTTCCTTTTCAAAAAGTTTGAGTTGTGGCATCCAGCTTATTTATCGGTTACCCCATGCATACAGGACGAGAAGAAGTCGGGGATTAGCCCTCTGTCCAGTTATGTTGCCACTCTACGCCAGAGAGCACAAGATAGAAATAAGGCACTAATGGAATCCAGGTTGATCTCATATTCCAGTTATTTACTGTTACTCCACGATTTGAGATTAAATTTCAATTTAATTTGGTGGAGACGCTTATGAGAGATGTGAATTTCTGCCCAGTGTTCGTGTTGGAGACCGTGCTTCCAAATTTGGAAACAAAACTAGTGATGATGAAGATGATGAAGATGACGATTCTGAAGATGAAGAAAGTGCT